ATATATAGAAATACATGTTATTGTACTTGTATTTATTAGTGAAATTGATGGAGTTTTAAAAATACATTGTTCATTTATTCTTGAATGAGTAATACTTCATACTGATAAGATTCACCAGAAATTTTATTCCTACTTTAGTATAATTTTGTTTATATAAATATACAGGAATTGGAGAAGTTTTACTTAGCAGTTTACTCAATTCTGTGGATACTTTTTGAATTCTGTCTGGATACATGGAATAAACTATTGTCATAAATTGTTTCTGGCAGTCATAACCTCACAACTTAATTTGATACTCCTGGATTTTCTTGTAAGCAAAAAATCGGAAAACTTCTAACTTGCTAAAAAATTTGTCACCCAGTTATTTACTTTCTCAATTTCTGGGATGCAAACCAAAAAATTTGTTACCAATGCTTAACAAATGATTGGTAGTTATAGTTGTTAACTCTTTCATGGAGAGTCACCTCCTTCAGTTTGAGACCTACAGCTGGATGGCCCCTCAGCGATGTTCCAAATGGAGGGCAGAAGATAGGGCTTTTGTACCTCCGCATTTCTTCCTAAAATTCTACCATTCTTATGTAATTCTCCCTCAGGATTACTATATTCTGCATGAAAGTGGTTACTGAGTATAGTGACTGACCCCAGGGAGCACAGTAGTCTTGGGAAGGGCAGCTCCCTTTAGCACAGGGTAATTCCCAAAGAGGACAGGGCTATGAGCAGTCACCATTCCAAGCAGCTGGGAAAATCAGTATCTTCATCTTAAAGGGAGGACCTAGGTGCCACACTCACAGCAACCATTCTGAAATTCTTTTGAGCTTATATATTTAAATACAAACATTTAACATTATATAAATATTTGTCTTAATCTTACATTTAAATATGTTTTCTTCCAGACCAGGGGCGGTGGCTCATGTCTGTAATCCCAGCACTCTGGGAGGCCGAAGGGGGTGGATTGCTTGAGCTCACAGGTTGGAGACACTGTCTCTAAAAATAGCCAGGCATTGTGGTGGGCACTTAAAGTCCCAGCTACTTGGGAGGCTGAGACAAAAGAATCACTTCAGCCTAAGAGTTTGAGGTTGCTGTGAGCTGACTCTATGGTACTCAACCCCAAGGCAACTGAGTGAGACTCTGTCTCCAAATGAATGAATGAATGAATGAATAAACAAACAAACAAATAAACAAATTAATAAATTTTCTTCCAAATCTGGAAGCTGCAAATTTAGCAAAGGCCATTTACGCAAAATGTCTCCTATATAATCTAATGAACCAACCAAGTGTTCATTGCCAAACCAACCAGTCAAATCAGACCTATTTTCTAACATTATTTTTCAAATAATGAAAAAAAAAAACTTAATACTCATTCCTGTAACAAGCAGCTCTCTTCTGAATTATAATTCTGAGAAAGAGAAAGCGAGAAAACAGGTACTGAAACTTGCCATAATTTCATTACTGAATGCAGTAAGGCTGACCTCCCTCTCCGATTCTTTCTAAAATTCTACCATTCTTATGTGATTTTCCCTCAGGATTACTTATATTCAGTCATGTTAACTGGGAAAAGGAAGAGGTATGAGGTCACCACCCGAAAATGGTCATGACTCCACTTCCCACTGTACAGTAAATTTGAATTCAGAGCCTCACAACACAAGGCAAGCTTTGCTTTGGATGGAAATAGATATAAAGCAAAGAAGTAAAACAAACACACAAACCACCTTATGGTGCCATGACCAAACGGGACTTCTCTGATACAAATACTCTAAATGGTCCCTTCACTTTGTTCCCCCAGAAGTTTTTATTCCCAAGAACAATGAAGCACAGGAAAACTCAGGATGCAAGAGAGATATGGATTCCTTTTGTAAAAAAAAAAAAAAAGAGAGAGAGAGAGAGAGAGACCAATTGTGAAAGGACGCTGAGAAAGGGGTCCAGAATACTCTTACACCCACCTGGTGGAGTATTTTAATAATACATTTGGAAGTTGAAGGCCTAAGAATGTCTTTCTTTGAAACTACCTGTGACTACCTTCAGAAAGGCCTCTACTTGTCCTCAGAATATGCATGCTCAGTTATGGACTACTGGACCAGCAGGAAAGAAAAGTGAAGCTAGAATCTGTGGACTCAATAGGAATTAGCCAGATTAAGTGACAAGGGAAACCAAACCCTGACAGGCTATTTTGATGATCAGGTCTAAAATGGTAGATAGGACACCTGCTTTAATCATACTGTATCAGTGGCTGTAAAAGTGGATAGGAACTTTTAGAGAAACGTTGCTTTTTCAGTTCTTTCAGCAATCATTTCCATAAATAAGCGTATGCTCGCATTTTCTTCATCATACCCAAATGAATTTGCTGACTCATTCTGTCTATCCAAATTCTTTCCACTCTCCAAAGGACAGCTAAAATCCAGCCACATGTATTCCTTCTGCATCTCTATCTATTCATTTCAATTTAATTGGAAATAAGATTCTTTTCCACTAAATTTCCTGGCTGGTTTTTTTTTTTTTTAACTTTTGTGTTCATTATTTTAATTTGCCTTTGCAGAAAGATGACTGCCTAGAGACACCAGATCATCTCAGAAAGAAAGAAAAGAAATGAGATGATGATCATCTCATCAAAGAAAGAAAAGTTATAGATGAAAACGAAACACACACACCCCCCCTCAGATGAGGTAAAAGTGTCAGAACATACTGGAGATTTCACAGGAAGACGTTGTGAAGCAGAATAAAACGGAGCAAGATCTGACCAGAGCTCAAATAAGGAGAAACTTCCAGCCCCATGGAAAGTGGAGGTGGGATTGTTTCTCCTCCCCGCATACCTCTGGCTCCTGAGCTGCTGCTAAAGAGCTTCCCTAGCCTCACCAGCCCAAAGGCTGCTTCCGCCAGTGAACTGGGAGCTTCTTGAGAATGAAACACCAGGAGCCCAGGCCCCTCACAGCTTCTACCTATCACCACAGACCTGAGCCAAGATAGGTTCCCCACTGCTTCTCTACCCAGGGTGTGCCCTTGTCTCAAAAGGAAAATTCATAAGGCTAATTACATACTTCTCAAGAGAAACTTTACAAGGCAGAAAGTAATGGGTCCCATCCTTAGTGTCCCTAAACAGAATAACTGCTGGCCAAGAATTTTCTATCCTGCTAAACTAAGTTTCCTCAGTGATGGAGAAATAAAGTCTTTCCCAGACAAGTAAACGCAAAGTGAATTTGTCCCTACTAAATCTGCCCTACAGGAAATGCTCAAAAGTACATTATTCATACATACGATAGCATGATAGATATCAAGGGTAAAAACACCGCAGAGTTATAGCTCACAGCTCTTATAAAACAATAGCACAAGAAGGAAAACAAAACAATAAGGTATCATTCAACCTGCTGAACAAAACAGCATCCCGCATATCAATGCTAACTCTCAACATGAACGGTTTAGATGCCCCATTTAAAAGACAAAGTCTTTGTCTATGGATGAATGGACGAAGAAATACAACCCAAATATTTTCTCTCTCCAAGTGTCGAACACTTGTGAACTCAAAAATGTATTTTTAAGATAATATAATAATTGTCATTTATTGTCTTCCCTGTGTCAGGTGAGTGTTTACTCAAATTCGGGGGATCTAGGAACTATTTAATAGAAGTTCAAACTATATGAAATTAATCATTACTGTCATTCTCAGTACCACAGTGTCATTAAGAAATGCTATTAACTCAGCTGTTATTTTCAAAACTCACATGAGCATCTTTCCCCCTGATATCTAGCATTCTCAATGTGGAAAGAACAGTCTTAGAGTCACACATGCTATTCAGTTCTTTACACAGCACTAAAAAGATGCACCGGCAGTGACTGTCATGTGATTGTACCCATGGTTTCACCGGTTCCTTAAATTATTAAAAAAAGGATCAAAAGGCATGTTATTGATCAACTATTCTCTGTGAAAAATAGAGTATGTAACAGAACATGGGCTTAACCTCCTTTAGTAAGGTAATACCCATTCTTGCTGCTAATATAGTGGATATCTTGGAATTATGTATCTCAATGTACCTTTTCTGGGCTATCTTAAGGTTTATTAAATCATCATGAACTAAAGAAAACATATCCTCTCCTATAACATGAGATTGCAGAGACAAATGGAAAAAAGCCAATTGTGCACTTTTTTTTCAAATATGTACAGCACATATGATAAATGCTGTTTCCCATTCTGCAGACCAGTCAGTCCATCTGATTATAACAACAAAGTTATCTGCTGTACTTCATAGGCAATAGTATTATAATTACTCACCTACATTGTGGGACACGGATCTAATTAGTGGGAATTCGTTTCAGTCATCTATCGCTGCATAATAAATTACTACAAAACTTTGTAGCTTAAAACAACAAGCATTTATTCATAGTTTCTGTGGGTCAGGAATTACCTAAGTGGTTCTAGCTTAATGTCCCTTGGGAGGTTGCATTCCAGCTGTCAGCCAGGGCTCTAGTCATCTAAAGGCTTCTCTGAAGCTGTAGGATTTGTTTTCAAAATCACTCACCAGTCTTCCACCAGCTCACCAATACAACAGAACTTAAGTTTCAGAGAGGTGGCAGACAGAAACGAGAAAGGAAAGGAGAAGGAGAAGAGGTGTTCCTATAAAGAAACACTAATGTGAATGATAGCATATTTCACGTAGGAAATCATGGAAGCCAGGAAAAGCAGCAAAACATTTCTCAAGTATTATACTTTAAAAAAAAAAAAAAAAAGACTGTTAACTCTGCGTTCTGCTTCTGACAAAGCTATATTAATCCCAAACATGAATGAAGGAGGAAAAACGACCTCCTCAGATTAAAGGAAAGTAAGAGGATTTGTTTCTAACAGACCTACCCTTAAAGAATGGCTTAAAAAATCTCCAAACAGACAGAAAATCATGACAGAAGAAGGCTTGGGACTTTAGACAGGAAGAAAAAGAGCAACTGAATGACCAAAAACAACAGCAAAGCTCAGGCTTGTGCTCCCAGGGCCTCGGAGTCCAGGGGAGCTGATCCGGATGATCACCCACATGCAGCTCGCCATCTTTGCCAACATGCTGGGCATGTCACTCTTCTTGCTTGTGTTCCTCTGTCACTATGTGGCCGTCAACAACCTCAAGAAGCAGGAATGAAAGTGGCACTTTCTCCACCCCAGGGTTCCAGGACATAGTCTGGCAAGAAGGGGGGTGTGAGGGCCCTTCCCACTTCACTTCATCCCTTTTACTTGTCACAACTACAAAGCAACTATACCTGGATTTTTCCAAACCACTTTTATTTCCTCAAAGTCTTCCTTAACCCTAAGGAACAAGAAGCTGCCACTGAATAGGGCCCAGGATAGGGGCTACTTTCTTTTCTACTATTTCCCCCCAATATAAAAACGTAGATATTTTTTAAAAAATTAAGAGCAGGCTGGACATAGTGGTTCACTCCTATAATCCTAGCCCTCTGAGTGGCTGAGGCAGGTGGATTGCCTGAGCTCACAGGTTCAAGACCAGCCTGAGCCAGAGCAAGAACTCATCTATAGCCAGGCATTGTGGCAGGTGCCTGTAGTCCCAGCTACTCAGGAGGCTAAGGCAAAAAAATCATTTGAGCCCAAGAATTAGAGGTTGCTGTGAGCTATGAAGCCACAGCACTCTACCAAGGTAGACAAAGTGAGACTCTATCTCAAAATAATAATAATTATTATTATTATAGCAAATATAGTAGACCACCTATTACTGCATGAGGTTCTTTAATCATATTTTATGGTTGATAGCAAAAGTTGCATATCTGATGTGGTGCTTAATGCTTTTAGAGAAAATATTTAAGACAATTAGAAGAAGCTAAGGAAATTTAAAATGGAAGTAGAGTTTCTACACTTAGGTTATCAATAAAAGTAGTAGAACATCAACACCAGTAGGCCCAAATAAGTTATGTATATATATGGAAATACCTAGAGTAACCACTAAAAAAACTATACAAAGTGATATAATCAAAGACGTTATAAAAAAATCAAAATGAAACTCTTAAAAACTGTCTAAGTAACCCACAGAAAGGCAAGAAATGAAGGGGAACAAGAAACAGAAAACAAACAATAAAATGGCAGACATACATAAACTAAAAGCGATTGGCTAAGTAGATTTTTTAAAACACAACTCAGTTATATACTGTCTATAAGAAATTCACTTTAAACACAATGACATAGGTTAGTGAAAGTGAAAGGAAGGGAAAAGATATATCATGTGTAATGATAAAAAAAAATGGCTACATTAATATCAGATAAACTAGACTGAGAACAAAGAAGTACATCCCATCCTGACATTATGCACCTACTATATTAGAAATCTTAAGTGGTAATAATAAAGTTGTAAATGGTAACCTCAAAAAAAATGTGGTGAGAAATCGTTTCTTGCATCTGATCAGTTCACATAGTCAGAATACATTTACTGTCCTGTTTATAAAATCCATTTTTATTTATCAAAAGATATCGTGTGCTTATAGCTTACTAAAATGGAATAAATTAATGTTTACTGGTATTTATAATCCATAGTCTAAAATGTAATTTCTAAAATCGCTATTGAAAATAATAATAATCAAGAGAGGTAAAGGAAATAAGAATGGCAAAGTGCACTAGTCCCCCCTTATTTTAGGGGGATCCATTTCATGACACCTAATGAGTGTCCCAAACCACAGATAATACCAAACACTGTAAATAACATGCCAAATTTTCACTCACAGAAGATTCCTTCCTATCATAGATCTTAGCAACATCAGCATACAATTCTTTTTTATTTTGAGAACTTTCACATTTTCACTTAAATGGGAGTATTTTACAGCTTCTCTTTGTGTATCTGATTAGCTAGCATCACTAGTCTTTTAGTCTAGGGTCATTCTTAAGTAAAATAAGGATTCCTTGAATGCACGCACTGAGACACCACAGTAGTCAATCTGATAACTGAGAGGCAGTGATAGACAACAAGTGGTAGGCAACAAGAATAGACAACTGGTAGACAGCAAGGAAATGCTGGACAAAGATATGACTCATGCTCTGGGTAGAACAGTGGGAGATTTCATCAGGCTCCTCAAAACAGTGACATTTTAAATCTTATGAATTGTTCATTTCCGGAATTTTTCATTTAATACTTTCAGGCCATATTTGGCTTCGGGTAACTGAAACAGCAGAGAAGAGGGGACTTCTATATTAAGGTTTAAGTAAAAAGATGATATGACTTGATTTATGTTTTAACAGGATCACAGTGGTTGCTTCTGAGGACCCACCAGAACGATTGTCAAGGGAAGAAGCAGGGAAGGCTATTGGAATAATCTAGTTAAGAATAATGGTGCCTCCAGCCTGGATGGTAGCAGAGGTGCTAAGAAGTAGTCAGACTGTGAGAATACATTGAAAGTAGATATGATAGGATTTGTTAACAGAATGGTTATACAAGAGGGAAGTCAAGAACACGTCCAGTGTTGTTTTGACTTGAGCCACTGGAAAAATAGAGCTGCCCTAAACTAAGATGGGGAAGAACAGGAGTTCTCCTGAAAATATTTAGGAATTCAAGTTTGGGCTTTTAAATTTGAAATGTCTATTATACCTCAAAGTAAAGATGAGTAGCAGAGGAGCTAGAGCCTGGAGTGCAAGGAAGAAGCCAAAGCTGGCGCTGTACATTTGGGAATCATTAGTAGATAGAGGCGCTTAAAGTCATGAGCCTGGACAAGCTCACTGATGCAATGAAATATAAATATAAAAGTGAAGAGAGCCGAAGACTGAGCCCTGGGGCTCTCAAATGCTTTAGGAGTTAGGGTTGTTGAGGAGGAAGTATGGTCTAAAACTGAAAGTAAGGATGGGAGGGGGATGATCTGAAGAGAAAAGAGATGGTATAAAATCTATGGGAGTGGGAGAATGAATAGTCCAGGGAAATACAGGCTATTACTGGGCAGCATATTTATGAGTGATCATAAACTTAATGTGAGACTAATCAGCACAGGTATACATTTTTTTCCAGTGACATTGGTTTGTACAAAGGCAGACAAGTTATATAGGGTTGGGGTTAAACCAAGTAAGTGAGAAAGTTAACAAGGAAACTGAGGATACACAAAATGGAGTATAAAGCAAAAACTATTAGGAAATACAACAATAGCAAGATATAAAACTACGTTAAAAAGTTATAATACATTTGAAAAAGAATGTGATGGCAGTGTCAGATTCTAGAATTACCAATAGAGTAGAACTGAACTTTCAGTGACATATATAAGGGGACTTCACATATAAAAATAAAAATACATAAATTTTATTTCTCAATATAATCTTCATCAAGTTAAAGATAGCCTTTTAAGAGAGGACACCAGCCATTTAGTGCATCTCTAAAGAACTGAAGTTCCTGGATGTTTAACCATGTCAATACAATATTTTTTTCATTATTAACTAAAGAAAAATGGGTACCCTTAAAAGATTTTTTTAAGGCTTGGCACCTATAGCACCCATAATGGTTACAGCGCTGGCCACATACACCAAGGGTGGTGGGTTCAAACCCGCCCTGGCCAGCTAAACAACAATGACAATTGCAACAAAAAAAGCCAGACACTATGGCAGGCGCCTGTAGTTCCAGCTACTTGGGAGGCTGAGGCAAGAGAATTGCTTGAGCCCAAGAGTTTGA